AGATAATAATAATAATAATAATCATAATAATAATAATAATAACAATAATAATAATAATAATAATAATAATAATAATAATAATATAACAATAATAATAATACGGATATGATGATGATAATAAAGATAGTAATGATAGTGTTATTGATAACGAACCCCCCCCCCCCCCGCACTAAACAAACCCACTTAGAAAAAAATTTATTATGATTTAAATAATAATAATGATAATAACAATAATAATAATAATAATAATAATGCTAATATTACTATTATTACTAATATTAATAGTATCAATAATGATAATAATAACAACAAGGATTAATAATAGTAATATATATTACTACTACTACCACTACTCCTACTCCTACTTCTACTCCTACTTCTCCTCCTCCTCCTCCTCCTCCTCCTCCTCCTCCTCCTCCTCCTCCTCCTCCTCCTCCTCCTCCTACTACTACTACTACTACTACTACTACTACTACTACTACTACTACTACTACTACTACTACTACTACTACTACTACTACTAGGTCTAATTATAATAATATATCATTTTGTTATTATAATATTTTATTATCTCGCCTTGTTGCAGGCAGACGCCAGTGTCTCCCCACGACACCGCCCCCCCCCCCCCCCGGTACAAGCGGAAAAAAAAGTAAAAGTAAGTATCATATATTGTTTCTATTATTGTTTTATTGTTGTTGCTGTTATTATTTATCATCATGTAATAGCATATTTGAGTTCTAATTCTATTATCACTATTGCTTTTAAAACGTCATTTAATCAATATTATTATAATGATGATCATAAGTAATGTTGTTGTTAAATTGTTATATATTTTAAAGCATTATTACCACGAATTTACGCGTTAATCCTTCTTCTTGTTCTTTTTCTTATTCTTGTTCTTGTTCGTGTTCTTTTTGTTCTTGTTCATCTTGTTCTTCTTCTTGTTCTTGCTGTACTTTTTCTTCTTATAATACCAAAGCTGGTATTCCATATGCCAGTAAAACCTATGCGAACTTCGGGTGCGGTGAAAAAAGAGCCCTTCTTCCATATACCCGAAATTCGTATCCGCCATTTCTGGTTGAATCATGGCACCGGTTCTGTCAAAGCAAGCAGTCTACGTTGAAAACGAGAGAATTTTGCTGTTAGCACTCCTGCTCCTACGAAAGCAGAAATGTGGCGCAAATAGGAAACATCGATTTTGAGTGAATAGTATTTTGCAATTAAGACAGCAGCATGGTGCTTACTACAACCTTGTCAAAGAGCTTGGCCTCGATGGAGATCTCTTCAAGAAATACATGCGACTAACAAGGGAGCAATTTGCTCAAGTACAATACCTGGTAGAAGGGGACCTCGTCAAACACGGCATCAGTCGAGAGGTGAAATGCCCAAGAGAACGTTTGGCGATATACATCAGGTACGTAGACTACTCTCTCTCTCTTTCTCTCTCTCTCCCTCCTTCTCTCTCTCTCTCTCTCTCTCTCTCTCTCTCTCTCTCTCTCTCTCTCTCTCTCTCTCTCTCTCTCTGTGCTCAGGCGAGTAAACTATTGTAAACGCCAACACTTGTTTTGATCAGTACATTCTGATGTTTTAGTTTCAACAAATGTAAAACATAATACGATGCAAAACCAAAATACGGAACGTCATAATCACTCATAAATCTGTGAAATATGCGTAGCATTAGCAATGAGGTCAGATGTAGGCCTACTCCCTGCGACCACTGTCGCCAGAAAGTATGGGGCGATGTTCAGGGTAGGTGGGTGCGTTTTTATTGGAGGTCGTATCGTCCGCGACTGATGGCTGGGTAGCAGGAATTGGTGAAGGGAGTGGGAGGATTGGTATTTGGGTAAACTCTTGATTTTCGGCATTGAATAGAAGGGTGCTGATCTGATATTAGAGAAAACTCTGTATTTGGGGAGACATTTTTCTCATTCGGAAGCAAATGTCTGTGCAGAATGATTCATTGTCATCCTTATTAGGCCTATATTGTTGCTGCATACTTTGTTTTTATTTCATCTCTATTTCTACGATGATCTTTAATCAGGCCTAAAATCGCCTCGTCCAGACTTGATGAAGGTCCATCCTTCATAGGCTTCGCTTTCTTGGGTCGTTTTCTTTTCGAAGCTTCTGTCTTATCACTAACGGCGCTGACTGTGCTGTCACTGAAAACAGACAACAATCACAAGTTATAATTAATGTATGTTAGAAGTTATATTCAAGTGTATGTAAGGAGGGGGTCAGTGAAATGCTATTTTTTGTCATTACATGATTTAAATGATAAAAATGATAGCATAGATAGATTACATAGACTCACCAAAATGTCCCCACAAACTTTAAATAAAAAATATGTGGTTGCCATGGAAATGGCGGCCATCTTGAAAATAAGCACCTCTTTTCAGTCTTGAATAATTTTTAAAAAATTCAATGATGACGTTATATTGCAGAAAGTTGGCAATATCTCGGAAAAATTGAGATCGCAGGTGGACAAAACTGACACCAACGATTCATATAGATCTCCTCTATCCATCTTGCACAAAAAATTCAAAATCCAAAAACATCGTGAAAATTGTGAAAATACACTGCCTCCCACCCCCTTAACATTCACCGTCTATTGCTTTCTTTCAGATATATGGCAACTGGGGAAAGCTTCAGATCCATCGGATTCAGTTACAGAGTTGGCGAGACTACCGTTGCCAAGATTGTCTCTGAGGTGTCTTAAGCCCTGTGGAAGCGATTGTCTCCGATACACATGGTGGTTCCTCTGAAAGAAGACTGGCAACTGATAGCATCAAACTTCGAACACAGATGGCACTTCCCCCACTGCCTCGGTGTCATTGACGGTAAACATGTGGTAATCAGAGCTCCAAGAAATTCTGGCTCTTTGTACAGAAACTACAAAGGCACATTTTCAATTGTACTTTTGGCGTTGGTGAATGCGCATCTTCATTTTATCTGCATTGATGTTGGGTCATTTGAGAGAAATAGTGATGGGGAGATCATTTCTCATTCCAATTTCGGAAAACTGCTGGCTGCTGACAGCCTTGATCTGCCTGAGGACTCTTCACTTCCAGGGGCCCCTCATCTTGGCCCCATGCCCTATGTATTTGTGGGAGATGAAGCTTTTCCCCTTAAAAAACACATTCGGCCGTTTCCAGGCAAGACGTGTCCCATACAGCAGCAGATTTTCAATTATCGCCTCTCCAGGGCACGTCGAGTGGTTGAGAATGTTTTTGGGCTGTTAGCTGAGAGATGGAGAATATTCCACACTAAGATAGATGCGAGACCTCGGTTGGTGGTTGATATCACCAAAGCTGCGTGTGTCTTGCACAACATGCTGCAGAGTCAGTCTACTCCTATTGAAGTGATGAGCCTGTTGGAAGAACAGAAAGGATCCGACCGACCCCAACACTTTTTGCACATACAAAGTGGGGCAAAAGAGCTGGGCATAAGGCAATGGAACTGAGAAATGCCTTCATGGATTTCTTCCCCAATTTGGCACCTGTGTCGTGGCAAATGGAACATGTTACCAGGGGAATGCGCACGATTAATACCATTGAATGCTATGCACCTACCTGTCCACGCGACTGTCAGCGTCCGGCTCTTCTTCCAACAGCTCGTCTGCTTCCTCAGGATTGTCCGATGGAGACTTTGGAGAAAATTAGTTGCTTTCAGTTCTTAACAATTTTCATTTACTTTAAGCTGATGAACTTATAAAACTCTCGTTCTTATGTAACAATTTTGGACAACAAAATTCCGGCTTTGAAATTATTAAACATATCTAGAAATAAAGTACACAGGACTCCCTGAGGGTTTCTTCAACATTCTTATTCCGCTTCAAGTCCTTGAGGAAGCATTGTAACGATTATTTTAAATTTGGAAATTCATGAATGAAAACGCTGCACAATTCATTAGTTCTATTCTTTTTATTTCACATTTGAAGGGATCAAAACAAAAACGATCCTAAGTCACATTTGGATGAACATTGAGCTAAGGACAAAGTGGCATTATTTGAAAGGAGACACAGCTTTTTGTCACAGTGTCGTAGAGTCTAAGTACATTTTAACAGAGTTATCAGCATTGAAATCCTCTCATTTCCACAGCATTTTTGTGCCTAAGTCCTATGTGGACAGTCTTTGCCCCTTTTCTCGAAACCACTTAAATGTGACTTAGGATCGTTTTTATTTTGACCCTTTCAATTTTTATCTTTTATGAACCCTCACGTCGAAGTGCAGTGCTGATTTTTAATAAAGATATGTGTGTGGGAGTTAATGATTATTATTAGAAAGTGAGATTGCACGAGAGAGAGAGAGAGAGAGAGAGAGAGAGAGAGAGAGAGAGAGAGAGAGAGAGAGAGAGAGAGAGAGAGAGAGAGAGAGAGAGAGAGGATAGAGGGGGGAGAGAAAGTATTTGTTTGGTGCCACAAATTTATCTAGAAACTGTAGGACAGCTGTATACTTCCATGGCACCTTCTTCTTCGTCGCAGCCACTTGTCCGCTTTTGGTGGTCATGGCTTCATTTCTAGCTTTTTTGTAGGTATCACGGAGGTTCCTTCATTTTTTTTCTGCACTCGTCAACTGAAATCACAAGCAAGTGCAAATCAATGTGAAAATATATGTACTTATTCGTCTATACATAGCAACACCAAGTAAAGTAAAGATGTTCCCGCATCCTAGACATTGGGGATTGCCTTGTTAGTGAGACAACTTCCTGGGCCTTCGTAATATTGTGGTAGTGTGACCAGTTCCTTTCCACGCCACCTTTACTTCCCCAGCTCGAAGTCAGGTACCCATTACTGCTGGGTGGGCAGGAGGGGGCGAAAAAAAATCCGTGTCCAAACCAAGGCTCGAACCCGGACTTTCCGCTTCGGAGACGAGCGTACTAACCGCTCTGCCACCGTGCCCTCGCAACACAAAGTACCATTACAATGAGAAGCAAATGCGCACACAGACAGGCACACAGGCACACAGACACACACACACACACACACACACACACACACACACACACACACACACGCACGCATGCATCACTATGGGTTCCAGTAGGCCTACTTGAATAGGCCTAGACAAAGATTCAGACAACTCAATTTGTTATACAAACACACACACACACACTTTGTTGAAAGAAAAGACACCAAGCAAGTTTGGAAAGGGTCCACACGCTGTCTCACATAACCCCCCCCACACACTCACACATACACACACACACACACACACACACACACACACACACACACACACACACACACACACACACACACACACACACACACACACACACACACACATACACACACTGACTGACTCAGACACACACACGTACGACACTGTGAGCAAAACAATGGCCTTGCATAGAAAGCTATCGGACGCCAAACGAAGTTTGCTCCCGAGATCAAGGCATTCATCAGTGTTTTATATACATATATATATATATATATATAAATATATATATATATATATATATATATATATATATATATATATATATATATATATATATATATATAATATGTCATCTCGCACTTTATACAATGGTAGATATCTGTGCTACATGACATCATGTAGATCTAGTCTTAAAAAAAATAAATTAGTTGAGGTTTTACCGCGCTCGCAACTGCATAAGGTTATATGAGCGCCAGAAGATTAGAGGTGTTACAAGAGAGTAACAAACATAAAAAAGAAGGAGGGGAGATAAGGACGATAGGTGTTTGATAGGAAAGAAGAAGTAAACCACACCAGAGCACCAGATCTAGTCTAATTTTGATCACACCAGTGTGGTTAAAGTGGTAAAATGACACTGCGTTTTTCTGGAAAAGTTCCGCTTGTACCGTATATAATTATTAAGTCACATGTGTGTATGCATGTTTTTCATGAATACTATAATAATCTAAAAGTAAAGCGCATAGAAGATTGATTGTAACACGGATTTGCGCAATATAAATGTCATATTATTATTATTATGAGCACATAACGTAATATTACGGGATTGAGTGTAAAAAAAAGTGTAAGATTATATTTGAACAGCCCCAAAAACCACGCTGCTGACACCTGCCCAACGTCAGCGAGAGTTTAACGACCTGGCGCATGTGTCAGGGGACACACTGTTTTCGTACACCATGCAACCTCCATGCGTTTTTGTTGTGTTTTTTTTTTTGGCAGACATTCACATTAAACTTCTGATTTTGATCTAACAAAACTCATATTGGTTACTTTTAATTGAAATGAGCATAGCAACAATGTATTCCAATAGTTCCGTGGCATTGTTTTAGCTATACACGTCTTGCAACTTTTCTTGCAACTTTTGCTAATTTTTCTTGCAACTTTTGCTATTTTCAAATACAACTTTCTCTGAGGACAGTTTAGTGTGAGTTCTCAGAGAGTTGATCAATTCTTCACCGGAGTGATCAGCTGTTCAGGCAATCGAGGACGTCCATAGGTTTTGTTTTGGGACAAAGTTCTGAGTTTCGTGCGCAAGAGCTGATGTCAAGCCTGTTTGACGTCATTGACGAGACGTCCGAGTGGAGCAGAGTCCCGGCCGCCTGACGTGAGAGAGGGCCGGGCCGCTATTCATCGCAGATGTCCACCTTAAAGGTTGAACAGCGCGTGACGGAGTCCAAGTTACAATCACTGACTGTGAACTTCCATTTCTCTCTCTCTCTCTCTCTCTCTCTCTCTCTCTCTCTCTCTCTCTCTCTCTCTCTCTCTCTCTCTATCTCTCTCTCTCTCTTTCTGTCTGTTTGTCTCTCTCTTCCAACCCCCCTCCCCCTCCCCAAGCCAAGCCCATGCCCTGGTTCATCACAAACAATCCACTCTCTGGAGTCAAAACATCGGGAATCACACGTGAATTTTAGTTAAACGCCGTTCCACACACACACACACTGGTCAGTTCAGGGTAAAGAACTTTGCCTAGAGATGAGAAAGTAAAGGAAAGATCCGGGGACGAGAGAGATCCATGGACGAGAGTGGAGAGGATGTACCAGAACAGTGTCTTGCAAACACGTTTACCTGTCCACCTCAGGTATTCTACCCGTGGAAGGGCTCCAGTTGCCATAATTAGAATTAATGATTTTCTTTTTAACAGGGCTCCCCAATCGTTTCTTTAAAGGGAGGGGAGGGGGAGCTTCATCCCCTCCATACACACATAATATAATCCACTTTTTCCCCCAGCCCTTACGTTGAACCCTGTCTCCATTAGACAACTTTTCCCGAACGCCTCTTTTTGTATACCAGTCAGTCAGTCAGTTAGTCTGTCTATCTGTCTGTCCGTCATCTCTCTCTCTCTCTCTCTCTCTCTCTCTCTCTCTCTCTCTCTCTCTCTCTCTCTCTCTTTCTCTCTGTCTCTCTCCCCTCTCTCTTTCTTTCTTTCTTTCTTTTTTTCTTTCTTTCTTTTTTGTTTTCTTTCTTTTTTCTCGTCTCCTTCTCCCCCCCCCTCACGCACCCGTGGCCCATCAGGAGAAATCAGACATACGAAGAGTCTAAAGTCAAGTCTGACCACTATTCTGTGGTGTCTTGAGAGAGAGAGAGAGAGAGAGAGAGAGAGAGAGAGAGAGAGAGAGAGAGAGAGAAAGAGAGAGAAAGAGAGAGAGAGAGAGAGAGAGAGAGAGAGAGAGAGAGAGAGAGAGAGAGAGTACGTGTGTTTCCCCCCTTCCCCCCTAAAAAAGACAGTCTTGTAATGTCCATGTACGTGTACAACAAAATCTGAATTATTTTAAGCAAAAAGACTTAGCCCATAACATACCTAGGAAAGCAAAATGTTATGCTCTTGGCAGTTTGGTCAGAATCAACATTTTCCGCATAATTCAGCACGTAATACAAATACTTATATGAAAACGAATAAGAATACTAACACTAATGCTGGACAGCTCGCTCTATGCGCTTTTCAACCATATTTTTGCCCTCAACAGACTTTAGAACACTCAGAAACATTGTCTGCTTCCCGTGAAGCATATAATAAAAGCTGCGGATTGCTTTGTATTAACAAACTGACATGATCTTTGTCTGTCTATGGCAGGGTACCCACTCCTACCTTGGTGAATTTGAATTGTGTCAATGGAAGCGTAAAAACGCCTACATTGAAAACAAACACCCCCCCCCCCCACTCCTTAAAAGAACGACCCCTATCCTCTCAAGAAAAACCCAACTCACGTTATACACACAAACCGCAAGGGCTGTGCGTGCGTTGTTGTTGTTGTTGTTGTTGTTGTTGTTGCTGTTGTTGTTGTTGTTGTTTTTGTTTCTGTTGTCGTCGTTGTTTTCGGTAGCGTCTGCATGTCTCGATTGAAGAGTCTTGTTAACATGTATTTAATTATAAAGTGGATCGGGTGTGAATAGGTCAGAAAAATGCCTCTTCGAACAATATCATAACCAATCAGCTCTATTGATAATGTTTAACTGTGACAAGCTTCGAATCCCAAACGTAGTAATCTTGAACAAGGGTTGTTTGGAGAATTTTCATAGCTTACCA